CCCCCCCCCCCCCCCCCCCCCCCCCCCCGGGTCCGTTCTTTTCACTCGGACCAGAGCCATAAGAGATCGAGCAGTCAATCCGCATTTTGTTTCTGTGGTTGCGCACGCCGACGGGCTGCGAACGGCAAGAAGGGGGTGCTTTTTTTCATGTTTGGTGGAAATGAAGCAGATGAGAAGCAGCATGCGTCTTTGAGATTCACTGCAATACCCTCCTCCCCGATGCAAACATGGACACGTTCACGGGTGTATCTTTCTCAGGGTCTGATCAAGGAGGCGATACACTGCTACGTGACGGCGGTGCAGCTGATGCCCAAGTTCGCGGCCGTTCACAGCAACCTCGGCAGCGTGCTGAAGGAGCAGGGCAAGCTGGTGAGAGAGAGCAAGCAAGTCGCTGTTTTTAGTTGTGACGGCACCGGTGATAGAGAGAGAGAGAGTGAAATGGGAGAGGTGGCGTTAGTCCACAAGATGGATTGGGAGAGGGATGAGATGGGGCGAGAGGCCAGGGAGGGCGGCTGCCGAGTGCGGCAGTATGGTGTTTATGATGACTATGCTCATGATGCTTATCTTCCGGTGGGGGGGGCGGCGTTACGCGCGGAGTGAATATGGGAGACAGACCTCGGAGACAGAGAGGGACCTCGGAGACAGAGAGGAAGGAGGAGGAGTGCCGCTGCAGCGCATTGGTTTGGCTCTTGATGCTCACATTTCTGGTGTAGAACAATACCGGTCCTATTGGGCTCTAGGGAGAGGAACCCTTCTGTGCGACCACGGGTTGGAGTGAACTGCACCAGTGCTGTGAGCGCTGATTTGAAGTGAAGATGAGCGGATGCAAGTTTCGAGCAGCTCATGGAACCTCGAGAGCGTTTACAAAAAACGTATTTCAGCATTCTCTTCGTGATGTAATATTACGACGCATGTTGACGTATTATTTCGGTCCAGGGGGTTGTTGTGTGTCTTTGTCAGCCTGCGATATGTGCTTGCCTGTGGTGCCGTGGTCGCCGCCGCCCCCGCCAACGCTCTCGATCTCGGGCGCGGCGTCTTCTTCTCCTCGGGCAAGAGCTGCAAGGAGATCGTAGGTGATAGATGCCACGGCTCGAGCTTTTACCACGAGCTTGGGTGGGTTGGCGACCATGGCCAGCAACCAGATCCTTGGCCCGCCGTCATCGAGGCGTCAGACAAAAAGACCCACACCGCACGTAAGCTATGCGTAGCTTAGCGTAAGCTTACGTGCAGAGTCTCGGTGTTCTTCGTTTCCGACGCCTCGATGACGGAGGGCCAAAAATCTGCGCCCCCCCCTGACGAGGGCTAGCCTTGGTTGCTAACGACCCAAGCTCGTGGTAATAGCTCGAGCCGTGGCGCCTATCATCTCCTTGCAGCTCTTGCCCGAGGAGAAAGAAGAGACCGCCCACGAGAGATCGCTGGGCGCGGCGGTACCCACGGGACCAGGCATGTGTGTAGCACGGCAAGGTGCACGGGTCAATAGTACCCCATAGCTGAGCGGCGGCGTGTTAATGAAGATTGGGCGAGTCTGCAACGGGCCGTTTGTGGGTCGAACACTCGTAACTTTCGAGGGATGCAACGAAGTATGGGCAGGACAACAGGCCGGCGCGAGGGGGCCTCACCCAAATCCAACCCTTTTTCCATGTGATGCATGTCCAATGCTTTCACTGAACGATCCATATGCGATACTTTCATTGAGTTTTCCATATCCAGTACTTTCATTAAGTGATCCAAATGCAATACAACTTCAATGCTTGCATTATGTGATCCTCGTTATGGAGACAAACACTACACGTTTCTTGCCATCCCAGCCTTAATTCCGATATTATGACGTTTTTTTTGTGAAAATGAACAACGAAGGCACACGCGCTGGCGCACTACCACGAAGCCATCGCGATCGACCCCGGGTTCGCCGACGCCTACAGCAACATGGGCAACGCCTACAAGGACATGGGCCGGCTCCCTGAGGCCATCAAGTGCTACAGGTACTATTTACAGTAGATGGATGGCACTTTTCGGGAACGTTTTACTGTGAGAAAGACGCGTCCGTGCTGCAACGTTAGAACACAGCCTACCGGAGGCGGAGGTATTATCTGTTGTTGTGACCTTTCAAACTCAAGAAGCGTCTCGGGCTTGTGCTTTCGCGCACAGCCCGTCGGGGAGCTGGTCCCGTGTACATTGTGGCGTGTGCGTGTTTACATGTGTTCGTTTTTGCCTCGGTGTCAATAGCGACACGACACGAGACGACCTGTTCGTTTCGTAGAGCAATCAATCTCATCTATTTGTATATACTATCACCGCACAACCCATGGCAACACCCCGTCTGTTGTGCTTCCACCTTCCCCGGCTGCCGCCTTATTCCCGTGTTGCTTCTCTCGAATGCCTGCGTCTTCGCGGTCTATCTTCCCTGTTGATTTCGTCTTCTCTGCCCCTAACGCTTGCGTCTTGTCTATCTGTCTGTCTTGTCTATTTCTTTCTCTCTCTCTCTTTCTGCCTCTCGCTCTCTCTCATCAGCGCGGCCATCAATATCAAGCCGACGTTCGCCGACGCCTTTAGCAACCTCGCTAGCGCTTACAAGGTGAAACAACTTCCCTGTCCTGCCCCCCCGCCCGACACGGCTCCCTCAATCCACAGTTCATTGTGATGGACTTGTTTGGACTCTTTTGTGTTGTCACTCGTCTAGGTTGTGGCATGTCATTTCATGTGAAGTGATGATGTGGGAATGTAATGTGAAGTGATGATGTGGAAATGTAGTGTAACGTTGTGGTGACGCTGGTCGTTACTACGCGGCTGCGCTTGGTAGGCAAGGTATTCTCTCAGGCGAAGCAAGAAGTGAAACGTATGAAGCAACCGTAGCCTTTTCCCACCATTTTTCGGTTGTCCCTTTCACGCCTCTTCATGCTTGTGAGACCGACCGCTCCCTCGTTCTCCCGCGCGCGTTGTTTCCAATCCAACTGACGGTTCCTACCTTGTCGTCACCTTCTCGAGGGGACATGAAAACCTTATTCCGATCCCAGCAGAATGACTCTCTTCTTTTGCGGAGAATGACATCACGAACCCCCTCGGGATATGCCATGTTGTTCATCCGACCCCCCCCCCCCCCTCCAATTCGTGTCCTCTTTGCCGCGCGTTTCCTACCGTTAGGAGGGCAACGACGTCCTCCAGGCGATCGCGTGCTACCGGAAGGCCCTGTCGCTGAGGCCCGACTTCCCGGACGCGTTCGCCAACCTCGTGCACTCGCTCGTTTTCGTGTGCGACTGGTCCAACCGAGACGACGACTTCGCCGCCCTCAAGAAGATGCTGGCCACGCAGGTGCGGTGACGACAGACGGTGCGATTGGCATGGTGGGTGCCATTTCGCTGCTACTGCTGCGAGAGCGACATGTGTCGGTGATTGTTGGTTTTTGTGGTCGGGAGGCTCTTCGTTTTTGTGCCCCCTCGTATATATTGTTTGTGAGGTTGTTGTTGTTGTTGCTATGGTGATGGTGGTGGTGGTGGTGGGTGGGTAGTCTCCAGCTCGATGTGTGGGAACCACACCTTCTGTCCTTGTGGACGGATCCAAGCTTTCGACATTTTCTGTACTGCGCGGCATCTCTGTGCTGTTCGGTCGTGCTGTTTTTTGTATCGCTCTCTGCTTTGCTCAAGGACAGCGGTCCCAGGAGTTGAACTGACGCGCACCTTCCTCCTGCCATTTTGCGATTGGTGCTTTGTTCCTTTCCACCGCTGTCTGCGCTGTTGGTGTATCTTGCCTCCCTCTTCCTATTGTTCTGCGTTCCCTGACACGGCGGTTTCTTGGATGGGTTTGGATGTGATTGAATGTCGCCACGACTTGTTGTGTAACCATCCCTGTTGCCCGGCCCATCCCTTGATCTGCATCGGTGGGTGTCGATCTTGTCGATGTTTCTCAGATGGCGACGGAGAACATGCTCCCGTCGGTGCAGCCCTTCCACGCCATGGCCTACCCGCTCTCCCTGGCGGAAATGCAGCAGGTGCAGTACATGCGTACATTCATACATACATTCGTTCTACATGCCTCCAAGTAGCATGTTCTTGTTGCGTTTGACGGCCGCTGCTCTGTCGTGAGCCCGGTTTTTTCCGGGTCTACGTTCATTATTCTGCTTCCTGTCGTTCTTTCGGCTCCCCGGCGGGAATAATGTAGCCGGCAGGACCCGAGAGTCTTGCGCCACGCGATGCGCTGTGTCAGTAGCGGCGGGCGATGTTGCGGCGGGCTGTGACCTCCCTCCGTTTGCGCGAAAAAAGGGTCGGCTGATGATGAAGTATACAGTATAGAAGAACAACAACAAAAGCATGAACCGACGCGGAACCACTAAGAGAATAAAATCCTTGATTTCAAGCGATTTTCCAACACCCGCAGCTCCTGACACAGCGCGGCGCGTGGCGTCCTGCCGGCTACATTGTAACCGACCGTTGTACATACACACAAAATGTGCATGGTACCTGTTTTAGCGGTAGTAGCGGGGCGGGGGTTACGCGAGATCACTTCTTGTTCACCCCGGATGCTTTTTTTGAGTCCTTTCCTTTTCACAACAGACGTCAGTTCGTTCCGTCTACGGCACCAAGCTTAGCTCTTAGCACAGTCACACACACCCCTCTGCGCGGTGAAAGTAAAGGTCTTGCGTGTGGCGCGTCTGTTGGTCCTACACAGAGCCCGTTCCTGTGCGTTGTGTGCAGGACTGTATTTGTGTACTTTCGTGAGGGCGGAGTGGTGCTGGCAACAGCTCTGGGGCTGCCGTGACTTGACTGCGCGGAAACGTTCTCCCTCGACTCGATCCCTCGCCCTCGTTCCTCCACACCCTGCCCCGCTATTTTTGCAAATATATACATGGCACCGTGACACAGCTCTGGGGCTGCCGTGACTTGACTGCGCGGAAACGTTCTCCCTCGACTCGATCCCTCGCCCTCGTTCCTCCACACCCTGCCCCGCTATTTTTGCAAATATATACATGGCACCGTGACACAATTTCGAATGAAATCAGCTCACCAACAAAACCAAACTGAGATGGCGTACGACAACCCACACAGAAACACCCGCTTTACGACGGACGCTTTCTCTTTTCATGGGTCAGCCGGTTAGCGCGGTCGACGCATATTCGAAAAAAAAAACACACACGTCCAAACAGAAAAAACAAGAAAGGAACACAGGTCTGCTTCGGGGTTGCTTTTGCCCCGCCCCTCCTATGCAATTATTTTGTTTTCCAACCGCGTGTTTGTTTTGTCGTCTTGCCTTGTCGCGCATGCCTCGTGGGCTGGCGGCGACAGATCAGCTGCAAGTACGCGGAGCGCGTGAAGATGAACGTTGCCCTCCTCGAGATGCCCGCCTTCCGATTCCACCGCAAAGCCAAGGAAGCTAGAATCAGGTGGGTGCTTTCCGCCTGAATTATCGTTTTGTTTTTGGGTGAGGGATTGGTGTAGGCGGTATATTATCTTTTTTCGGAGAACTTGAAAAGCCGCCGGTATGTAGGTCACGTACACCAACTATGAATAATTCGTCGCTGCATTTACCTGTGGATAGAAATGAAATTTGTGTTGTTGTTTTTCTAACGAAAATTGTTTTTCGAAACCACGTAAAGGAGGGCCTATCGTCTAATACCCATCCCTGAGGAATTGGTCCAGGCGTTCCCCCCGATGTGTTGGGAGTCTTGGCCATGGCATTCGGCCATGTCCGTGGAAAAATGGACATGGTGGTTAGCGTGGAAAGCCCTTGCATCGGACATTGAAAACCGTTACGTTGAACGTTTCCCAAGTAGCGCTCGAGTAGAGGTGATCGCAAGAGATTGTAGGGTTTGGGGGGCTGTGATGTGTTGCCGTTCCCGTCAGTACTGCTGCCGGATGTAGTGAATGCCTTGACCAGAGTGTTGATCTTGATGGCATTTTGTTTGTTGTTATGGAGTTCCACAAGCACTCGACAGGAAACTATCTGCTGTAAATGTTGACTACTTTTGTGTCTATGTGCTGGTATGTTTTTCCTGTTAGGGTTGGGTACGTTAGCAGCGACCTGGGCAACCACCCTTTGAGCCACCTGATGCAGAGCGTCTTCGGCATGCACGACAGGACGCGTTTCGAGGTGAGGTTAGAGGTTGGTTTGTAGCGACGAAAGGGGAAGGGTTTCTTGTTGAACTCCGTTTGAGATTTCTATCACCTGCTAGGATGAAATATGTCGGTATCTTCTGCTACGGTATGTTGCTGATGTGATGTTGTTGCCGTTGTCGTCGTTAGTATTTTCATTCAACTCCGGGCGAGGTTCCGGTGCAAATCACCTGTTAGGGTGTATTTTGGTTCATACCTGCTGCTGTTCTTGTTGTTGCCGTTGTTGTTGTTGTTGTTGTTATCGGTAATATCTTCTTTGCGTGCAGTTGGCACACGTTGTCTGGAGGGTACGTTTTGCGGCCCCTGTCGCCTTGGATGCCTTACCGCCGCACGCCCCGATTTTCGATATTGTTCTCTTGAAAACTTTCTCCATCCCCTTGATCTCCTATCGTCTGCTGTCTAAAACGCTTCAGCTTTTATGTCGCCAACTTCTGTAGGCACAAAATTTCCCTTGGATCACTTCATCCTTGTTCCGCACGTGATCTACAACTCTTTAGCTTTGTGCCTTCAGTAGACACAAGCTACGTCACTACATGTCTTCCGGCAAGACAAATCCTTCCCCGTACAAACCGTCTCCCCCACTTTTTTTGTTTGTTTTGTTTTTCTTAGGTGAAGTGCTACGCTCTCTCGGCGAACGACGACAGCGTATGGCGGCGAAAGATCGAGGGCGAGTCGGAGCACTTCTGCGACGTGTCCGGGCTGCAGGTGACATGATTGGACGCTAGGCATTGTTTCATTGTGCGATTTATTGGCTCATTGGCTTCACCGTACGTAGCCTCCGTATTTATTCATGGTATGCGGATGCATACACCTGTCTCTCTCTAACCAACGGCAGTGTTTTTTCGGATTCCGTGACTGGTTGGTTTTGTATAGAAATGCATGCATATGTATGCGTAGCTCACTCACCACCTGGTGACGTGCGATGATATTCAATCGTGCACCACATCACGGCCGCCTTTGACTTTCTCTTTTTCGCAGACATCGACTGTTTCTCATGTTCCGGTTTTTTGTCCTTTAATTTTGTATGTCGCTGAAACATAGACGCGCTGAACGCGCACATCATTTTGTTTTTTGCATTTCGCCGGCGCTTTTTTTACATCTCGCCGGCGTCAGGCCTGTTGGATCCATGATTTGTTTCGTTTGACGGATGTACGTATGCTTGTCGCTGTAGCATCGCCGATAATTATGCTTGGCGTCGCGCTCCACCTGCTCGCACTCGCTCGCTCTGGTACTCTTTTTGTTTTGCTTCTTAACGGTCGTTTTTTCTTGTCTTGACTTGACTTAAAAAATCAGCGTTCACAGCACGGTCGGTAAAATGCTTGAATCTATCTGAATCCGGAACACTGGTTCTTTGTGGTGATGCTTGCTGCAGAATGGCGATGTTGCCAGGCTGATACACGCGGACGGGATCGACATTCTCATCAACCTCAACGGGTACACGAAGGGCGCTAGAAACGAGATATTTGCCCTTCAGCCGGCACCGGTACAGGTGGGCGTGTTTGTCTTGTTCAATACATGGGTGTTGCTTGTTTGTGTGTGTGTTTTTTGTTTCATCTATTGCGCGCACAGGCTGGCCAATGAAAAGGCGTCAGATCTCAGCGCGGCTGAAAGTAGAAAATGCTTCCGAAGGCCATGATCTGGAACCCCGTGAGGGGGCGTCGTCGGGGAGGCTAAGTTACTGTCCGGATTAGACACCCGAACGGTTGCAACAAAAGAAGACCGCACGTGTGTGTGCTGTGCTGTGCACTCGTGTTTGTTTCGGGCCCCTTGGCATGTTGCTGCTGCTTTCAGCATCCTCCTTCTACCCAGCCCTCTCTTGGCTGATATTCCCCTCTCTAATTGTTGGCAATTCTCTATTTCCTGCAGCGTTCGGTGTGCGGTAGGTCACCTACGCTATCTTGTCCTCCTCCGTGATTGTTTCCTTCCTTTTTCGTCTTTCCCTGTTCTACTCCTCTGTCGCCACAAAATAAATGTCTTGTAGTGACGAAGGGGTAGGACAAGCAGACGAAGAAGGATGGATCAGATGATAGAGAGGAGACAAAATGGCGTGGAAGAATAGCAAGAATATGTATGTGTAATTCGGAAATTAGAACTGACCGCCCTATCAGCTGGCCAACAACAAGAAGCTCTCTCGTCCTATTGTAAACTGTGCTTCTTTTCACCTTTCTCTTGCACAGTTCCTTCTTTTTTTGCGTGTGATGGCGAGGTTGATGTTTCAACTCCGTCGTTACCGTACGTACGGTACAAAGTAGTGTTTTTTTTTTTGGTGTTGTACCCGAGGTTCTACATGTATTACACGGTTGAACTTTTTTTTGTTTTTCATAATGGCAAGTCTGTTTCTCCATCGACAACATAACGGTTTGTTCATTCGGGTGCCCTACATTGCCTACACAGGGTTCTACGGCTCGCTTGTGTTTTACCCAGCCGGTTTCCCTCCACTCACTGAAAAGACTCCACCACATCCCGTTCGACTGTGGGTATATCTCGAATGGGTAGTCTTTCTGTGTGTGTTTTTATTATTCCTTAATTTTTTTTTGTTGGTCCTTTTTTTTTTTTTGGACAGCGGCAAGATAATTCATCCTCCGTCTACTGTACAACGCAACGTTTCGTTTTTGTAGGTGTCCTACCTGGGGTTCTGCGGCACGCTCGGTGCGGACTACATGCAGTACATGATCGCCGACGAGACCATCGTGCCGCGGGAGAGCCGTCGGTTCTACACCGAGAACATCCTGTACATGCCTCACTCCTACTTCGTCAACGACCACAAGCAGGTGAGATGGGAGGGGGGGGGCAAGAGTTCTCTGGTCGCGAGAGGGAAGGGGAGCGGAAGGTGGAAGAGGGCGAGAGAGAGGGGGGGTGGAGGGGGGGTTGGGGCAGAAGTGATGGTGGGACTGGTGACACTCGCCGAGTTGTTTTGCGTACAGGCCGCAGTTGGTAGTTGGCAGCACTCCCGCCTTCCCAAATGACTGGCACTACGATTTCCGGACTGATCTGCCGCAACTTTCCGCTTGAGTGACAACCTCAAACTTGAAGTATCTCCCCGAAAAAAACATCCGTCATGTGCCTATCCGTTGTTCATTTAAAACCAAATGCACGGACCGATTACGCTGCGAGCAGTCGACTAGGTTGCGTAACCACCCCCCATACCCCCCATATCCCATGTGTGCTCGTCGGTTCTGAAGAAAACAAAAGAAAAACGGACGGGCGGAAAAACATAGAAAACAATTGGCTGGGTAGTGGCGGCCTTTTACGTTTTTTGCGTAACAATCCCCAGAACAATTTCCACCCCTCATGTGTGCTCATCCATCCTGCAGAAGAAACAGATGACGGGCGGACGGTTACTTTGCGTACCCCCCCCCCTCCAAACCCGATTTCCGCCGGGAAAACAACCCATCGCTCATGTGTGCCGATCCGTTCTTTAATATATAACAAAAATTGCACGGGTGCTTTCCTGCCAACAGTCGGCTAGGTACGTCCTGGATCGGACGCTCCTCCCTACCCGAGCCACGTACGGCGTGCCGGAGGACCGTTTCGTGCTGTGCAACTTCAACCAGCTCTACAAGATGGACCCGGCTATCTTCTCCACCTGGATGTCGGTGCTCAAGAGGGTGCCAAACGCGGTGCTGTGGCTGCTGAGGTTTCCTCCGGCGGGGGAGGCGAACATCAGGATGGAGGCCAGGAAGAGGGGCGTCAGAGAGGAGCAGGTGTGTTTGTGTGTTTGTGTGTGTTGGTGTGTGTGTGTGTGTTTTTCCATCGACCGCGCAAACCGGCTTACCAATGAAAATACGTCAGTCTCAGTGCGGTTGGAAACAGTGTGCGTGTGTTTTTTGTCGTCCCATCTACTCTGGACGCCGGTCCTTACACCCATTGATAGAATTTCTGGACGCACCAGGGCAGGAGGAAGGTCACACAGGGTGTATGGGTGAAGGCTTTCATTTCAAGTATTGCTGCTGTTGCTTTCGTTAATATCGTCGCCCCGACGTTTACCGGCCAATTTTTGGACTCTCCCATGTTACTGCACCTGGAGGTTACGATGTCACGTCTGGCTGATGATGATGATGTGTGGGGCACCTTCCTTGTGTTGGGCCAGCTCTGTACCTGTCATATTTGATCCGCCTGTCCTATGTTCGTATGATTTCTGACAATAACGTCGCTCTGCTTGCGATCCACCTCTTTTCTAGACCCGCAGGTCCAACAATGCATCACCAGTATCACCAGCAATCGCAAAGCGTCTTGCGATTGCGATTTTCGATCTCCTCTCTCTGCCTCCCACTCTCTATTTCTCACTCCCCCTCGATTCCCGTCTTTTCCTAATGTTTTGTATGGTACAGCTGCACTTCACAGACGTGGCTACGAAGGAGGAGCACATCAAGCGGGGTTACCTGGCCGACCTCTTTCTCGACACCCCGAGCTGCAACGCGCACACCACGGGCTGCGACATCCTGTGGAGCGGGTGAGACGGACAGACAGATCCTTTGAATTGCTATGGTAGTAGTGCGGAACACTCTTTGAGCAGGGTGTCCATCCGCACACAATTTATCTTCATGCCGTCGTTTGGAGTTGAAGCCTGACAAAGACCTGCTGGGGCCCGCAACAATCGGCGAAACAAACACGTCATCCTGTAAAATGTTGTTCATATCTGTGCTCACTTTGTCACGCGTAATGTTCGTGTTGTGCGAACCCTGGGCACGTTCGATCGATTCATGCTTTGTGACCAAGGAGAAGGATTTTATTTTCCAGGCGTTTCGTTTCACAGAACCTTTGTGCTTTTTTCATGTTTTCCCTCCCCAATTCCAGGTAACTGTTTTTCGGCACACGCACACACATCGGCCAGCTGGATGGCGCGGTCGATCCTAGTTCAGAAACACACACGCAAGCCCCGCCTGTTTTGAATATTCAAGCTGTTGGAGAAGAAATGCCTTGGAGGCATCTCCTCAAATAAAAAAACGAATCCCCCCGCGCGGCGCCCCCCCCATTGTCTTGTTGGTCGAAACAACATAACAAACGCCTTCCAGGACGCCAATGCTGACCATGGCCGGGTCGAAGATGGCGACGAGGGTAGCGCCGTCCCTGCTCAAGGCGGCGGGCGCGGAGGGCACGGGTCTGATCGTGGAGAGCCTAGAGGAGTACGAGGAGAGGGCCGTGTCGCTGGCCACGGACCCTGAGAAGCTTTTCGAGGTGTGTGTGTGTGTGTGTGTGTGTGTGTGTGTTTGTGTATTTTTTACTAGCATGGACCGCTCTACATGTAACTGGCTGACCAATGATAGTACGTTAGTCTCCGTGCGGCGGAAAACATGTGCGTGTGTTATGTATTTTTCATTTTAGTTCGAAGCCTCGGTCGGTAGCTTTCATGTGATTTGCATTTCGCATGGCGTGGGTACAGGTACCCAGGTTCCCGAAAGAGAGAAGTTTAGCACAAATGTTGCTTCTTGAAGTACTTCGTTTAGCACTATCGTATTTTTACACATCCACGTGCCGGCAGGTCAGGCATCAGTAGGTCAACACATGCGAACATTGCATGCAATCTTGCGTCGAAGGTTGCAACCGCGTGGATTCACCAACTTTTTCGCATATCGATGTGGGTGTAAAATCTTGTCCTCTTGGCGCGCTTGGTATTTTTATGTAGTGGGTCGATTGCCTTCGGCTATGTTGGGCGAGATCTTCTTCTGCTGTGTTGTTAACAGGCTGTTGCAGAGCGACGAACGGGCTGCGTGGAGAGACTACTGCTGTATTTATGCGCGTGTTCTCTGTCTCTCAAGCATGTTACTCCTGTATTCGTCTCCCGGTCTTTCTTTCTCACAGCGAATGCAAAAATATAATAGCGTTTCTCCGTCTCTTGTGTCGGCTCTCGAGTTAATATTTTCGGTGTGTGTGAGCGGGTTTAAGGATAGACGCGTTGTTGATCGATAGATCAATGTCGAGGTGGGCGTGATCGGGGTGATGGGATGGTGACCACGGTGGCTAAGAGCGGTCGGCCTGGTGGATTTCCATGTAGACGTTGACCGGCTGGGTGACACCCCGCTTGCGTAGAGTTATTTGGCCACCACATTCGCTCTCGTCCAATCTGCGGCATGCACGGTGACTACTGAGATTCACCGGTGTTTGTTCCCCCGGAACACAACCGCACTGGCATGCTACATATCCCCGCCATCCCTGTTCTTCACCCGCGTGCCCCCCACGCCATACCCGTCCCGCCCCTCTGTTGCCTCGCGGCTACCGCTCGGTGCGGTTCGTTCGATACGGCATGGTGTGGTACGGTAGATCCGCAGCCGTCTGGAGGAGTCGAGACATTCGTGCCCGCTGTTTGACACGCAGCGGTGGGTCCGAAACATGGAGGTAAGCGTGGCATGCCGTCTTGCGTGTGACGGTACAGGGTCTATTGTGCCACAAGCTTTTAGAAGGAGGGAAGAGAGAGAAGAAAGGGCCGCTTTCGGTGTGCCCTTGATGGTTTGTTGTCTTGTGCCATTCCGCAGGGCTCTTGAGCCCGCCTTCTCTGCCCCGATCGCTCTTGGTCTTCCGATCTTCCTTTTTCCCGTATGTCGTTGCTATTTCCGCCTCCACCTTCCCCTTCCCTCGATGAAACCCTTTAGGAGAGTTGTGCAGCAATGACCGTCTTTCTAGGGGGACGCCACCAGCGGCCATCGGTTGTAGCATGAACGCGTGCGTGCTTCTTTTTTGTACGCCTAGCGAGTCCCTAAGCCCCCCGCCGACCACGGTCGCTGTTCTCTCCGTCGTGTTTGTTGTCGCCCTTCTCACCTACTCCGATGGCTCCACACACATGGGACCGCGGCGGCTTTCAACCAACCCACCGCACGGCAACACGTGGCCCGGACGGAGCAGGCTGGTCTGGCGATGGCACACGAGCGATTCCAGGCAGGACTTGACCCCGAAGACCTCAAGGTGGACGACACCGTCGGCGCCACGCCGGTGCCCCCCCAGCCCCCGGCGGCGGAGCCCCCTTCCTCCGCCGGCGGCGATGTGGACGCCAACCACAACGGTGGAGTGCCGTCCCCCTCCTCTTCCCCGTCCCTAGAAGTCCCCTCTGCAACGCCAGCAGCAGCTGCTCCTGCTGCTACCGCCGACAGCGGCAGCGGCAGCGGCGATGTCAAGGGGAGCGACGGCTGCCAGCCGTCTCCGCAGCAGGAAACAGCGGCGGCACCGGTAGACGACGGCGAGGCGGTGGCGGCGGCGGCGGCGGGGACAGCGGCGGCGGCGGCGGCGGCGGCAGCAGTGTCCGCCGAAGGATCGCCCACGAGCAGCAGCCCTGCGGTTGGGGCGGCGCGGGAGGAGAGTTTGACCGCCCCTGGGACGGTACAGGGCGAAGCGGTAAAGGAGGAGGAGCAGCAGGAGGAAGAGGAGGGGGTGAGGAACAGACGAAAGAGAAGGGCAAGCGACGAAGCGACTGCCAGCGACGAAGGCTAAAGGGACAGGCCAGGCCAGACCTGATGCACTCTATTTGGCCTTGACCAAACTCATGGCGACGCCGCAGGAACGCACGATATGATTGTGCGAGGAAGGGTACAGTGCTACTCGATTGATATCTGTGTGGTTGGCGCGGAGCAATGCGTTCGTTTCTACAGGCCCACATATGGCGTGGGATGGAATGAAACAGGGCGGGAGTTTTTCATTGAACGCAGCGAGTGGAGGGCAAAGACGACCTGCCTGGTTAGAGTAGACTTGCCAGGGGGTCTTGCGTCTTGTGCGCGCACGTTCGCGCGTTTTGTGTGTGTGTGTGTTTCTGTGCATCGCCGCCTGCGGCACGTGAAGTAGGGGTTGGGGGCTGGCTGGAAGGCTGGCTGGAGCGGGCGACACGTGTAACGGTTTCGTTCCGTTCCGTGAAAGTTACGGGATACGAGACGGGCCGTTTTGATGAAGTTGCCCGTGCACCGTCTGCTGTCAACTTGCGGTAGACATCGTTGTTGTTAACAACCTCCGGGTGAACATTGCACGTTGCTCCGGGATGTTGTTTTTTGGTTTTTTCGCCGGCCACGTATGTCGCATTGCAAGAATAGCGAGGTTGGGGGGGGGGGGATGAAAGTCAGTGCTGTTGGTTTGTTCTTGTTTGTTGTCTTGTAGTTATTTGTCGGGGATTGGGACCGGCTGTAGCGGCATTCGCCTTGAGCGGTGTGTGAGAGCCGCCCCTTTGGCGTAGCGTTGTCAGTAATCTATGTATTTGATGTTCTTGGGAAGTCATGGGAAATATGCGATAGAAGTTATTGGTAAGTTGTGTTGTAAAGGTTTTATGTCCCCGTGGCTTGTACGTCTGACAGGAATGTCATTATAGAATATTGTACGCAGGGAATTTTGTTGCGGAGAAATGAGAAAATTTCTCAACTGACAGATTTCTGGACGGGGAGGGGGCAAGAGAAAGTGCGGGAATTGATGGGGCGTTCAATGTCCCGTTTCCGCGGAGCCTCACAAGAACGGGTCGGGTTTGCTCGTGGTAGCGGGCTATAAACTGTAGGGTCCGCCGAGCTCTGGAAGCACCGGGGAGGGAAGGCACGTCTCTGAAGGATAGCTACAGTTCGAGCGGGAATGTAAGGCGTATGTTCGTATGTTCGTCAGCCTCCAGAGTACTCCTACTTCGAGAGACAAACCGAGCGGCCCTTCCAGGAGTCGCGCCGCTTTTGACGCGCTGCGTGTCCTGCTATTCGCGTCGGAAGCCTTATGTCGTGGGGATACTGATGTGTTCTACCGACGGCAAGCAAAGAGACAGAGCGCGAGAAATCTGCTACTGTAGCTCGCTGTTCTGCTTGCGCGTCCCCAACTGTGCTGGTGTTGGTTGCTGCAAATACGCAGCAAACGTACTCTACAAGTAGCGCCGGTAGGTAGGTCTTTGACCCCCCTAGTCGTGCAATTGCATATAACGTAGTCAAGGCTATTTTATATTCAGCGTTATTATTTCCCCACGAGGCAACTGGGCTGTGAGGTTACGGAAGAGGAGGCACGGAGAGAGGGGGCCGCGCGGTTCGCGTGCGCTGGGCGTTACATTCATTCAGGGCTGTGAACCGTGTTCCAGAGATTCATTGTATTGTTGGAGGTAGGTGTTGTTTTTGTCAAGGGGGCGTTGGGGCGTAATGTCGCATGTATGTGAGCCTACCGCGGGCAGGCGTATATTCGAGACAGACAGGCCGGATAGCAGCCTTGCGCATACCAAGCGTTCGCATGGATGCCCGTGCTGAAAATTTCAGCACCGAGCAGCAGCTTGAGGGAGCCGATGCTGCTCCTCTGCCCGGTGTACGTTGCGACGGTAGCGAGCGCACTAGAATGTCTCCTCGGGGGGGGCTGCGTGCTATGTGAACGGCATCATCATAATGTTACCAGACGTGTTTTGTTTGGAGGAACATCAGAAGACGTACATATATTCTACGGGTGTCATGCGCGAGCGCGGAAGAGAGGACTGTTGGTTCTCTCGGAGGACGTTTTCTTCGTCGGAGACCCCTCGGTGCGGACGCCGGACAAAGAAGCGTCTGCGTTGCCGTCGCTGGTGGGGCGGCCTGTCGCTTCTTCAGGAAATCGTGGCATGTGGGTTATCGCACCCGCAGCAAGGGTTGACATGATGACCCTTGTATGTATGGGTGACGTCCCCTTGTTTCAGAGTGACGACATCCATGCAATAGCCTGATGCTGAACCTTCGCCCCAAACGACAACGAAAGTCGGGCACACACAACGCGGTCAGACCGAACCTGATTCAGGTTTAGCTTCTGAGGATGGCTCTCTGCTTCACGCGTTGCTTTGATTTAGATGATCATGTGTTGTTTTTCAAAGTGGCCGGGACTTGCCACGTCTTCTTTTATCTGTGGACCTTCATCTGTGTACTCTCTTCATTTCACAACTTTTCACACAGCGAGCAACCGCTGGAACCACTCCTAATCCCCACCACTTCATTCCTACATGTGGTGCAGCAGAGATGCCCTTGCCCATTCATCGGGTAAGTGAATACACGTGTACAAAGGCGCGAAAAGTACAGAAGAAGTGCCGTCACACGTTTTTGGGGCAGTTGGCTTGAGACCACGGAAGGTGTCCGCGTCCCGTGGACCAGCACCAAATATTGACGGTACTGAGCGGAGATCTGCGTCGAGCGCCGCGGTGTAGTCGATGCTGCTACAAATACATGTATCGAGGTCTACATGGAAGGGGTACTGCACAACAACAAGGAATCAGGTAAAGGGTGTGGGCTACGGTTGTACCACATGGTGAGGGAAACGTTGACGTCGTGGCGAGAACCGGAGACGGGAGACGGTGGTGGGAAGGCGTGACTGTGAGGTGCCGCATACGTGTGCTCCATCATAGAGAGTTGGGGGGCACCGCCGTGTGGCAGACCCTCTGCATCGTTTTGGGGCCGGATTTGTACCACGTTCGGCGTCAGGCCGCCATGGTAGTGAGCAGGAATGTCACAGAAACATCGTAAATATAGTCTAGTCTAAAGGGGTTTCAGAGGGTTTTGTTTTCCGCCATCAGGCGTTGAGTAACTTGGATGGACGAATAATTCGGTACCATCTTGTGTCCGGACCCACCGATACTCCGTGAGATATCACAGCAATAGTCCTACCCACGTTCATCACATCAACTGTCCCGTCGAACGCAGCTAGAGTGACGAGCGAATTATCCGAGATTTTGAGAAAGGCGAGAACTGAAATGTTGGCGCTTTCATCGAAGGGTTGCAGCAGAGCCTCCTCACTAGTCTAACAACATGTCTAGTTGTCTCTGAACCAACAGGTGGACGCGCGACGCGTAGAATATTCGACGAGATATTCTCTGAGCGGTCATATACCAAACGCCGCAACACGCAACTCGACTGCTCCCACAACGGCACAAGAGCTCCTCCCCTACCTCAGCAAAGTGAAAATCCCAAAGCCCTCTGCCCTTCCCAACACGTTACGTAGCCCTTGTTCGGACAAGGACGGGGTCTACACAGCACTCGCAGCTTCCACCCTTGGTTTGCAGCACAAAAGCTTGTGCTCTCTGGCAATCAAAACGAACTCTGCGCCAATCAACAACATGCCAACGCCGAGGAACACCCCCCACAGACGAGGGTCGTCATCTTCCTTGGCAGCGAATACCCCGAAGACAGTGAGACACGCCACGCTGGCTGCGCCTACCAACGTCTTCACGTCCTGATACCATGGCGTCCCCGAAACCTGTACATCATACCAGTAACGGAATGGAGTTTAAGTTTGTGATGGCTCGTGCACGCAAAAGAGGCGTATGATGTTGTTTGTCGCTACCGTTCGATTTTCTATCGGCGGGAAGGTCAACCGACGTGAGGTACGGAAGCGCAACACGAATTCCGGGAGCGTAGCCCAGGAGACACGACTCAATGCTCCAGATTCAAGGAGAAACTCGCGAGCGAAGCCCATGCAATCTGGAAACCGTGGAACGCGGACTATCAAGGCGGCTTTTGGGTAAAGTGACTGAAATTCACACAATTTCGGCCATGTTTAGAAATTCTACATACTTGCCAATTCAGATCTTTACAAGTCGAATCAACTGGGCAGCCACTCAGATTTCGGGTCATTGATCGCCACTTGCTTATACCCTAGCTAATGTTGTTACAACTTTGAACCTGGCTGGGCGGACTGCCTTCTGTAGATGCTTGGCTGCTCGAACCACTCTGCACAGGTGCTTGGTTGCTCGATCTGATCTGGGCAGGTGCTTGGATGCCCGGACTGATGCCGGAAGAGGCCGGACCAGAAACCTCAACCTGTATGAAAACAACAACGGTTGCGAGACGAGCAAAACAACATTCCCGGAGGCCTGAGCAGTCCGACACTTTCAATGCGTACAGGTCAAGCCACATCATGGCCTAGACGAAGGCCTTCGTACGACCCTGGAAGGCCTGTGTCTATAGAATGTATCGCCTGTACATTGTGCCAACTGCCTGTGGTGAAAGAAACCCCACCTCGTAGTTCATCCCAGGCCATAACGCACAGCCCTGACGAGCCACCTTCTCGGCATTCTCGGCAAACTGCTCCCGGAGCGGTTCATCGAGGAACTTCTCGTCTGAGAATTCCACAACCTGAAGAGCAGCTGCCAAAAGGTCAATACCCGCCTCACGATCCTGGCAGAGTTGACAAAAGTAGCTCTCCTCCACCAGGCAGGATCCCGGTCGTCCCTGTCAACATGAAAGCGCGCACTGGTGAGTTATATGAATGCGCAATTTGGTAGTGGGTATTCTTGCATCTGTGGTGCCGAAGCACTCGTCTGCAATCTGCATAATGAGCTGAAACATTGCAGCGATGAGCGGCGGCTACCGTGTTGATTGGCCAGCACAAGATTGGCCATGGCAGAGCAATTTTTGAACTGTTGGCACTCAGTTCCACCGTCGCCATGTTGAGGATGGAGCTACAGTAGGATCATCGCTCGAACAAGGCAAAAACACGTACAGCAACGAGATGGAGAGCTTACATCTGTCGTCCTGATCGGCATGCCCTTGGTCTTGTGCTGTGGGCAGAAGAACATCAGCTCGCATGGTAAACCAGGGAACTCCGAGAGCATCTTGATCATGACGGAGAGGACTTTCGACAGAGCCGCCCACGCATGCACCTCCTCACATCCTCCGAACACCTCCAATGCCAGGATCTTGTCCTCCTCAGAGTACTCTACACTCAGTGAGAACAACCCTTTTTCCGCACCATTCCCCACTATCAGAGCCCCGTATCGCCAGAAGGGGAAAGGATAGCCCATGTGGCAGCACCGCGCTAGGAGACGCTCGACAAAGCCAGGGGGCAAACCTAGACTGAACGAGCATGCCACAGTAAGCCTCAGGTCGGCCTCGCTAGCTTTGTGCACTTGCTCGAGCTTGATACCATACTCAGGTGGGCGCGTTGTGTCCATGCGCAAAAGGATCACCAAGCCCCCATTGGGGTCGTTCGGTAAGGGAAACGTCAGCCCTGCGCTCTTCAACGCCAGGAGAAGGTGTGGTGCGAGCTCTGGAGTCCACAGCTCCTCAGCGAGTTGCGGCTCGAAAACATGTTCGTTGTCCAGCCGGCGCAAGCTTGCAAGGTTGGTCACCCGAATACCACCCAGATCAATGTCGCCGTATGAATCTCGCCTGTGACTAAACAAAGGGTCCAGAACTGTGGCAAACCACTCGACGTCGAGGAAGACGTAGTTGCCGTATTCCACCAGCCCTCCCTCCCACTTCCTGCACACAGAGAGGTTGTACGATACAAAAACCGGGCCCGACAGCAAGTGGGACGCAGAGCAGAGCATAAATGTGCACTAGCTCTACTGGCTGAAAACGGTTCTACTCTATTCAACGTGAACGTTTTTCCTGGTGTGTGCACCTGATGTTAAGCCACACAAACATCACAAACATAAAATATATTTCCGATCCATGCAAACCAGGACGTTGAACAGCTGGTACTCGTAGGCAACCAAGCACAAAGTCAACCCAAAACCGCACCGCCGATTGAACTTACCTGATCAAGATCGCACCAGGCATTGCCGCTTCTGGGGCGGCTACCGGCGTGCCGGCTCCGTTCAGCTCAGCCACCTTGGCGTGCCACTTTTCCTCCAAATCCGCTCTTGTGATGCCCCGGGTTCGTTGTTCGGCCTTGCGCCTAAAATTGCACGGGTCCGATCGAGAGGAGGTGAACTTTCCATGAATGCATCCCCGACCGCAAGATGATAACACACACACACACACACACAATCGTGGTGCAATGCTTGAAACGCTTGAGCGGGCACAGCAACGCTATTGCTCCATGTGGAAAAAACACACATCGCTTAAGCCGTTGACGTGCATATCGATGTACTGGGACTGCATGACTTGGCGACAAATACATAACATCTTTGGCCTTACCTACTGGAAGAGGCCAGCTCCTCAAGCATCTCAAGGGCGAGTCGGTAGCTCGGCGGAAGATGCATGGTAACAGTCCTCTTGTCATCGACAGGATCGTATATCATGCGATGAAAAAGCCCCGGGGTGCTCTTGTCGCAGGGCCAGCCTGTTCCCCCACCGAACGCTGGTGCCGAGACGCCTAGGCCAGACTGCGCGCAGCTCACAAGGCTGACGCCATCTTCCAACGAAAGTCCGTGGGGTTGATGTCCATGTGCTTTCTCCATCCAGGACTTCAGCCATCGGCGGCTCTCGCATTCTACGTCATCCGCTACTGTACCCCTGGTCCTTACCACGCGGTCCCACTTGTTCCCCACAAGGATCACGTTTGCATCCGGCACACGGAAAGTCAAGTAACGTAGCCAGGGGGCAATGGCAAGGTCTTCAAGGTTCAAGCCATCCATCTCGCTGGCTTTCGCCGCATCCCATACCAACAGGTACACGGCACGAGGGGTGAGAAATAGCTGGAGCAGTCCGTAGTAGACAACCTGTCCGGTGGTCAAGGTGGGGGATCACAGACACGTCGAGGGGCGCACATGACGGATACATGGTGTCGAAGGAAGTGAATTGGGTAACAGGGTGCAGGAGAATACGATACGTGTTAGTTCACTGCCGGGGTCCAGGACAGTGTGAAGTCCTTATCGCAATGATACTGACCGAGGAATGATGCGACTAAGGACGGACGATGTCACCCGCCGGCTGCATGTTTCTGAAAACGATGAAGAAAACTAGACAACCCCACCCCGCAATAAGATCATGTCAGCTGACGGATATCAATGGCAGTGCGCCCGCGCGGACTGGGATTTGAAAGCCATGTAAACCCCGTCCTGTACTCGCACCAAACGTCCATGCGAATAGCTTGAAACTCCGGTTGGAAGCTGCTCACGACAAAATGAAACGATCTCGACCTCCAACCTCGGCCTCGATGATTGCCACAGAACGTCCAATCAAAAGTACACCGACCCACCACGCAAGCTGACTGGGTCAACGCACGCGTGTGCAAGGAACACAATGGGTCTCACCTGACCGGCACAATCAAATATCCGAATTGGATGACCATCGACTTTGTGGTCTTCGACATCCACGTGGACAGTGCTTTCCACACCACCGTTTTGTGTCATACACGGCCCCCCGGTCGTGATGCTGCGCCGCAAACTGCGGCAGTGCATTGAGTGAACAAGGTGAGTCAAACCAACCATTCATGTGATAATGGACGCCCGCACGGCACTTATGCCGCTCAAGTTTTATCTTTCGCGCCGGAGCAGCCCGCAGTGTGACTACAACACGTGAGGGGATGTCAATCGGAGGAGAAGAGCAGCGCACGACAATGACCCACGAATGAGCCACGTAGATTCGTACCGAAACAGTCGGAAAGATGGCACTGCGTGCGATCGATTTGTTAAATGCGTTTTCCTTGGGCTATTCATCGCACCCCGGTGCCATCTCTCCGACCTCGGTGCCATCTCTCCGACCTCGGTGCGGAAATATCAATTCAATCATTTCGTTTAGGATTTTCAAGGCACCGGTGCGGTCTCTCCGACCGGTGCGATTCCCGATGAAATACACACAGGTGTTGTATGCACGCACCCCGGTGCCATCTCCCCGACCGGCACCATACAGTGTAGGCATACCCACGCTCACGCACGGTCTTCTTGCATACACGTGTAGTACCGTTGTTGCTGGTGGGAAGCACACCGGTAATGGCAACGTAGGCTGGTACCAGTTTTCCATGCAGCGAGGGGTCTTGTGTTTGAAGGCGAGTTTGGCTATGGCGACAAGGACAACAAACGATGTGGTTTCCCTCTGAGGTACCGGTATATACGATATCAGATTATCTTCTGCTTTCGTTTCGGTCTTCCTCTACGGATACCAGTACGTGCGCAGCAGTACAATAGTTTCGTGTTGTGTAGGGTGGGGTAGGGTGCGGCTTGTACGTTGTGTGTTTGGTTGAGTGTACGGCTGGCAACTTCCATACCAATAAAAGAATGAAAACAACTGGCATCCCGCGCGAACGGCGACCATGCATACGTACATACAGGACAGGGGTGGTGCTCCGAGGACACCGTCCCCACGTGCAAAAGGTACGCACATGTGCGTCATTCCGTCAGCTGCAAAGGAGCTCAATCTTGGATTTGGGGGTCGGT